GCCAGGCTGATCAAGAAGATAAGCCCAGTCACCTTTCTGAGGACAAGACAGTCCAAGGTGTGAGCTACAAGACTTGTGCTGTCACAGCAGTGGTGGCATAAAAATACCTTCCTGAGAAGGTAAGGAAAAATGCACTCATGTCAGAGAGACTGATGTATTAACAACTGAGGAGGATGCAATGATAGAGGGTAAGAAAGAACAACTGCATCTGCCTAGGAGAAACACAGGTGACAAGAACATTGTAGAGCAGGTAAGAGCTGTGGGACTAATGGTTCATATAGGAGACATGCTACAGTACAGGTAACAGGAACATTGGGGTGCAGGCAAGAGCTGTGGAACTGATGGTTCATAGAGCAGGCATGATATAGCAGCCAAGGAAATAAGTACAAAATGAGGAGAAAGCATATGAATTATGCTATAAATTTTCTCCAGTAAACTTACAAGACTGTAGTAGCATAATGGACACTTGGCTTCAAAATATATAAACGCATATATCACATGTACACAATGTATGCACATACAACACACACACACACACACACACACACACACACACACACACACTAATGTACTTGGATAGACACAGAGGCTTACATCATGAACCCTCTAGAAGAAATAAGTAATATCAAATGTTACCATTTGAGCTATTTTTGCCTTTTTCTATATAGAGGCATAAAATTGTTATTTCAGCTATGTTCACAAATTTCAAGGAGAGCCACACAAGGAATAACTGGGGAAGATTTTGAAGTTTGAGAAGGAAATCGGGAAGAAAATCACATCTATAGTAGTTTGAAGAGAAAAATAAAATACCAAGGGGGAAATAACTCTAAAATGGAAACTGAAAGACTAAAGAAAGAATAGAAGAGGGCACTGGAGAATGCAGACTACGCCCATGGCCAAGAATCAGCAGAACTAATATTGCTTAAATGGCTTTGTTACTGAAAATTAAAGTGATTTTTGAGTTGAATGCAACCTTGATGAAAATTGTAGTGACACTCTTCTCAGAGCTAGGGGAAAATGATAAAATTAATATACAAGTATAGATTATGCCAAATAACTCAAATGATACTGAGCAAAAGAAGGAATATTGGAGAGAAAACAAGACTTTATTGAAACTGTTCTGAAAGAACCATAGTAACAAAGCCAGCACAGTCCAGGCACCAAAACAGATAAGTAGGACAGTGGAAGAGAACAGCACATCCAACAATATATCTATACAGTGACAAATGGTTTGCTTTTTTTTTTTTTTGGTTTTTTGAGCCATGGTTCCTCTGTGGCTTTGGAGGCTGTCCTGGAACTAGCTCTTGTAGACCAGGCTGGCCTCAAACTCACAGAGATCTGCCTGCCTCTGCCTCCCAAGTGCTGGGATTAAAGGTGTGTGCCACCACCGCCTGGCAACAAATCAATAAAGATATCAAAAGCATACAATGGAGGGAAAAATAGCCTTTTCAAACCTTGTGCTGAGAAAAATGGATATTAACACTAACAAGAAATAGGTTAGATCCCCATCTCACACCCCATACAAAACTATCCAAATGGAATAAGATGCTTAATATAAGACTTACTGCTTAGAAACTGTCATGGCATAAAACCATTTCAAGACAGTTTCTTAGACAAAGACTGTCTGAAAAGGATCCTCAAACAGTCCATAAAATAAAGCCGGTCCATAAAATAATAACTGACAAATGAGACTGTATGAAATAGAAGTGTTTCTGTTCAGCAAAGGAAACAATTAACATACGACAAAATGAGAGAAAGTCCTGGATACATATTTATTTAACAAGGGATTAAAATCTAGAATATATAAAGAACTCAACAAATTCATCCTTAAAGATAAATGAACAGATGAACTAGACAGCTCTCAAAAAGAAAGATATATGCTCTAGGTTCTCTGTAGAGAGTTCTTTTCAGTCAGAATGTCAATAATCCAGGAATCAAAGAAACAACACTGCCAAGAATATGAAGAAAGAACTGTTAGTCTTTGCTGGTGAGGATATAAAATATACAGCCAATATATGCAAAGAGGAATGGAAATTCCTTGTTAGTTGAAACTAGCACATCTCTCTTGGTATACTCCTGAAGTACTCTGTGTCTGAGTACCATAGAGATGCATGTATGATGTCCACATTCTATGGAGATGTACAAGCATCACATCCATTATAGCACTAATCATAGTAGTCAGAACATGGAACTGATTTAAATGCCAACCAACAGATGAACATCAAAAGAATATGTGATACTTAAACACAATGAGGGTCACTAAACCACAGAAAACAGGTTTATATTATCATCAGGAAAATGTGTGAAACTAACTCATAGTGTTAAACAAATAAGCCAGACCTAGTGAGAGAAATTACACATTTTCCTCCTCTCAAGTATTATATAGATAATGATGGAGATGATGGATTGGATAGATGGATAGATGAGTTATAGATGATAAGTTGGTGATGATAGATGATAGACAGCTAGATATATAAATAATACAGATATATATGTTCAGCTATGAATTTAGAGATAAAAGGTATTTGGAGAAGGATGACTGACAGGAGGAGGGAAGGGGAAAGGATGACTATGATGTGATTATTTAACAATGTACAAAAACTTATGTATATGGAAACATCAAACTGAAATACATCATTTTCTACATCATTTTTCAACTTTAAAATTAAAAATGCTAAGTGAAAATATATAATAATAATAATTGATGAAAATTGATGCAGTGGCATGGAAGACAGAACCCTATTTTAAGAGCTCATATTACTATAGCTGTCTCAGATCCCCCTAGAGGACAGAATTCCAAAGTTACAGAGAAGAGTGACTATTGGGCAGCTCTGGTTCAGGCACACCATTTCATGGACTACAACAAAAATTATGTGTGGGCCAAGCATTTAATTCCAGCCTTCAAGAGAAAAGGACTGACAGATATCTGTGAATCCAAGGCAAACATGGTATATGTAGAGAGTTTCTAGCTAGTCAGGGCCAGGTAGTGAGGCCCTGACTCAAACAAGCAACAAAGAAACTATATGTGTGTTGAGATTGTAGATATGTGGGAGAACATTTGCCTAGGTTGTGCAAGGCTCTGTATTCAATCTCCACCTTCATACACAAAGCACATTACTTTTCTTTTATAAAGAAAAAGTCTCTCATGACTGATGGGTTTGATTTTCTTGAATACACTACACCATGTTATATGATTCAGGACTAAGAACAATATTATCTGCAAGGGGCCTGGATAGAGATTATGCCCTGAGCACACATAAAACACAATTTCTGCCACTATTAAAAAGATAAAGAACACAGACAAAACATAAACATTAGACAAGCTTTTAATGCTAATCTCTAAAACACAATACTGTATATTACATTAGCCTAGATTTATTGAAATTCATCTTAAACAATTGGATTTTTTTATTATTGGTTTTTGAAAAATAAGCAATCTGAAAACTGCTTGCTTAAATCCTCCTTGCTCCATTCTGTGATACTCCAAGATAGATAATAAATATTTATTAATTTCAATGAGAGGAAATACATTTAATCCTAGGAAATCTATACAAGCAACACATAGTAATTTCCTCAATATATCCAAGGTCATAAAGAGCCGAGTTCTAATAATTCATTTAAGCAATATAGTTTGAGTTGGAGACAAAAGTCACATGCTCACAGAACTGAGGGATACTTGGCTGGAAGTCATTGGTTTTAGATGACATTTGCTTCTGCCCTAGACATAACACTAGAGGAAACAGGCAATGGTTTGCTCAGTGTGAGATTGTGTGACAAGTGTACATTTGGTCATTTCAAGAAATTTACTGAGTACCTTTTCTGGTGAACTAGAATAGTACAGTTCCACTTGTTTATATCATTTGAGATATAAATAATCCAATATTTTGAACCTGAAATTTTCAGGAAAAGAACAGGAAAAATGTATGGAAACATTTACTTTGAAATTATAAGTATTCTTCAACACACAATAAGAGCAAAGGTGATAAAAAGAAACATTTGAAATACAATTTCATGAATTTTTTACAAGAAAGTATGTTAATATATCAAGAGATTTCACAAACTACTAAATCTTTTATGCCCACAATTACAAGTAGCAATGTTAGAATAAGAAGAACAAGAAATAAGCAGAAATTAAGCTCGTCTGTAGCACAACACTGTGTTCACATCATATTCCTGTTGCTCAAGTGGTCTTAGACCTTACCTGTACAGCCTTGCATGTCTAGGTCAGGCTGCTGTGCATAACAAACATTCTAATCCCAACTGACTAGGGAGTCTGCTCCTTTAAGAGCACTGCCTCAAGTGCAACTCTTTTCTCCAACAGCCCTTTAAGGTTTTCTGAGTTTATTTACACATAGAACCCATGAAGCTGTTTCTGTGAAGACCAAAACAAATCAGGGAGGAAGCCACTGAGTCTCTGATGATAGTTAGCTGTTGGGAAATTTGTTGAGACAACTTACAGATCAGTTACTCTGAAACACAAAGGTACACTAAAATTCCTTAAAATACAAATTTTAAAGAAGTAAATGGAAGTCAATACAAAATTATCAATTGACTAACTCTGTGGTAAGGTCCTTCATATCAGAATATTTTACATACTGTAAAATGATTCTCATGGGCTGAATGTTATATACTTAATTTAAATGTGCATGTTTTTATGAGGATGTAGCTTATGATTCCAAAGAAGGTTCGTTGTTTGTGAGAATGTAATGCAAGTATATTTAAAAATTACTAAAAACTCATTTTTTATATTTTTGTTGTTGTAATGCCAACTGTAATTTCCTGCTTTGAATCAAGCTCTTTTATCAAAAATATTGCTTTCTGACAGCCTTCCCTGTGTGGCCATGGGGACAGCAGACTGAGTTGTTCTCTGCTGAGAGCTGCCTAATTGTTCCATGAATTTGTTGTCTTACATGGGTCTAGCATCTTGAGTATACAAAATGGAGTACACAGTGGATAACTACTTTAGTAGTCATCACTGCTAACACATGTATAAAATGTACCTTGCTTTTTGTCCTCGAATCTGGAATCTTGGAAGCAATTGTCCTGGGCTGATGCAACATCTGTGTTGGATTTGATGGGCTGAGACTCAAAGGAGGAGGCTGATCTCGGAAAACTGATGTCAAGCATAGTTGGACAGTCTCTTTCATGGCTTTCATCTGTGATTCCTGAGAGTGAGGGAAGAATTCATGTTTTTACCTGTCTTGTAACATTTCCCCACATTGGTAACATCCTACATTCACCCCATACAAATACAGACAGGTTTTCAAACGGAATTTCTCATTCTGCTGCAATGTGGTGTCTACAGTAGGTTCTCTATTTGAACACCTTGTGCCCAGCTGGAGGCATAGTTAAGGCTGTGGAGCTTAGGATGAGGGAATGGGACACTGGAAGACAGGCCTTAAGAGGAAATAGGATGGACATACTTCTGACCTGATTTTTGATCTCTGATTTGGCTCTTGCTCTCTGCTGTCTTGCTCTCCACTCTCACTTTCTTCTCCCTCCCTTTCTCTGTTCCCACTTCCTTAATCTCTTTCTGCTACCTGATCTAGTAAGATTTGATTAAGTATCCCAAGCTACCACCATTGCCTTTGAGAGCTATTCCTGCTACCAAGTATTCCCTCCCAGGATGACCCAGGAGTATCTCAGGCATTTTCATGAGCTATGAATGTGGTCCAATATGTTTATATACATGGTGTCATTTCACATTGTCAATAGTTTGTATACCCATAAAACCCCTCAAGCCATAAGTCAGACTAAATACTGATGGGGGATATACTTCTGTGTATGTTTATCTTATTGATTGTTTAATAAAGTTCTGCTTGGCCAATGAAATGGCAAGTTAGGCAGGAAAGGAGTCAAAGAGGATTCTGGGAAATGTAGTAGAGAAGTGGTGATCCAGGCAGGAAGTGACATAGCAAGGAGACTCATATTTAAAGAAGGAGAAACAGGAAGTGCCCCTCTTTTTTCCCCTCTGCTCCTGCTCCAGCGGCACAATGTGATCCACTGGCAAGGAGTGATGCCAATAAGGAGTCCGATAAGCTAAGTCTTATAACATATATAGATTTATGATAATTAAGACTGAGCTAACAGATGAGTAATCCTAGTCATTGGCCAAGCAGCATTTGAACCTAATACAAGTTTCTGTGTATTCTTTTGGGCCTAACTCGGGCAGTCAGCTGGCATAAAGCTCACACGTTGCAGTGGAGCTCAGGCAGCTTTTGGAAGAAAGATTTATCATAACAAAATACTTCTGTCTTTAAGCTGTTTTTCAACAGATATTTGATTGCATTGCTTAGAAAAATAACACACCCAGAAAGCTGATGCCAAGATCTCTTGCCACTATAAACCTGATTGTGTTGTCTCTAAGTCTTTGGAACTGTGTTGCTAGAAGATATGGAACAATTTGAAACATCAGGTAAGATAATTCTAAAAAACTAGAAGCAATGTTTGGTAGGTGGTTCTGGTGCGGGTAAGGAGGAGATGTATCCTAGCAGGAATGAGTATAGTGAACCTTGACTCAGGAGCCCTCAGAGGGCAAGAAGAATTGTATCAGACATTGGTTGAGAGGTCACAGATGCTAGATCCTGGTAAATACTCTGCCTGTACTCTGCTTCTACAATGAAATGCACATATGGACAAATTAATAAACAATGGACTAACTGGTTTGAAGGAAAACATTACAAGTGGGCATGACATCAGGCTGTGGGAGGGATGTTATTCATTGTGTTTAGTGAGATTTATAATAGGTCTTCAAAGCAGGAAGTGCAGTAGAAGGATGTGACATATAAGTAGTTCAGTGAGAAAATGCATGCGAGTGTGGTTAAAGTGTTAGGCATGGGGCAGATACCAGTAAACTGCATATAGCTATTAAAAATAATGGCCCTGTTAAGGTGAAATTGCAAACTCTACATGGGGACAATAGGAAGGGATATTTAGGTTAAGCCCTTACATCTAGAAGGTTCTAGGGGAAACAGTATAAAATCACTTGAAAAGAGAATGCTTACACACAGGGAACTTCCAGGGTATCTTTTTGACATTCTTAGGTCTGGTAAGATGGCTCAGCAGTTAAGAGTGTATATTATTCCTGTAGAGGACTAGAGCTTGGTCCCCAGCATCAGAGCATCCAACACTGTCTTCTGTTCTTTGGTAGCATTGAATTTACATATAAAATACCCAAATCCACCACACCCATACACATAATTGAAAAATAAAAACAAATCTTAAATTGAAAGATGACCATTAGCCCTTAGCCTTTGAATATTTTGGGCATATTAAAGATTATGTGGTTTCTGAAGTTAGACTGACTAAAGCATTATCATGAGATGGCTATGAATATCAAGGTATAAGACTATAATGGAGGGTTTTGATACTGAGAACCTGCAGAAAGCAACACCATTTCCTGTTTACATGCATTTTGTCTTTCGTACTGTTCACCATTCATCTCACAGATGAGTCTTTGAGATATTTTGGTGTCTTTACAGTTGGTAAATAAATCTCTAAGTCAGAGCTATAATTCAACTCAGATTCTAGAAGTAATGAACAACCATGAAGTAGTGATTTTAAAGGATGATTTTTAAGTAAATATGATTTGATGTATTGTGAAAGACAGTGCATATACATACATTCAATTTTACTTTAAATTCTGTGTCAAATATAAGCACTCAGAGGCTCCTGACCTCATCAGGATATCTCCAGGTTGATATAGTTAACACTGTGTCTCTAACCATTCAAGTGGGGACAGAGAGTGATTTGTATTCTGCTTCAAGCTGTTCTTAACATGTTCCTTCCTGTGTTTCTTTCTTGGGACTACACCTGCACCAGGACCTCCTGTGTTACATTTTGGTACAGTTCTTTGTTGACAGTCTAGACAGATACTACCAGAGACCATGGTCTGGTGTTTGTCACCAGAATTAGTGCATTGTTTTTATATCAGCCTAATAGACTGCCTCTCACTGAACAAGCCTGTTTCTGATGCTCCCAGTGTTGTGTTCACACAGGTCCAGGGACAGAATCCAGACAATAACCTGACAGCAAAGTCCATTACATCATTATACTTCCAGGGTTGTCTATATTGAAGCTTCAGGCAACTATTTGCTTTGAAGTACACTACAGGTGATGTCCCTTACTGAAGTATGAGGTAATGTGTGTCACATGCTTTCTTCTGAATCTAAAGAACTATTCTTTTCTCAGCTCTTAACTTACCCTTTCCCTCCTTGCTCCAAACTACTACCATTCACTTTGCCTTCTACTCTTGAAGTTGTAGTATCTGTAGCTAAAATGCCCCATTTCTCAGGTTACTCCAGTTATAGCTGAATAAATAATTAATTTTTTGGAAACTCAGAATTGACTCATAGATTTGAGATTCTTTTAGTTATTTTCATATAATAAACTGGAACTTCTTCATTCATTAGAAATATCATTGAGGACAAAGTGAGAATGTGAAGATGTTCTCACAGTTTTTATGGGATAGTTAAGGTTATTTGAACATGAGGCACAGGATGTCAAAGGTGAACATGCACAAGGTATGAAACAGTCTGCTATAAAAGCAATAGAGAGTGGTGAAAAGCAGTATATTTAAACTGTAGTATTCTTTTTCATTCTAGATTGAGATAACCTCTCCACCTGAATTTAGAGCTACAGTTTTTAAATCTCAAATGCATCTTGGTCGATATTTGTTAAAATCAATCTCTAATAATGTGCAATTTTTATAGTTCTATGTAACAAAAAAAAGAGGTGACAAAATTATAAAGGCTAAAAAAATACTCATCACAAAAAGTAATCTTATCTCATTTACAAATAATACTAGCAGATAAGCTTTCTGTGTATTTTCTACATGACAGGCAATATGCCCATCAATCTAGTTATGCATATAACAACTCAAATCACTCCTAAGGTCTAAGTGTTATGGCTGACTGCTATGAAGCCTAGCACTGGGGAGATTTGAACATGGCCAGTCAACAAAGGTGATTGTTCAAACACAGGAGGACAGTCCTTGGAGGAAATCTAGCCCTAATTCCCAGATGAATATGTGCTGTGGCAGGGTATAGGCTCACTGCACAGTGATGCATATGAGTGACAAATAGTGGGACAATTGCACAGAGCTAAAGGTGAAGAAACAGCTCTGCAGTAACCCTGAGTTTTGTGCCACAGGACATTTCCAACCATTAGAGTGTGCCATGGCTCTGGAATTTGGTGTTATTCACAAGTACTTGTGATGCATAGATTAATTTTTCTTTTATTCTATTGTCTTGTGTGTCAGAAAGTATTATTTCCTGATTGGTCCATTTCATTTGATATCGGAACAAAGATCACATCCTATACAGTTTCTGATTCCTAATGTCCAACATAATAGCATCTCACAATAGCTATTTTGAAACCTAATAACCACTGATCAATTAAATAATTATATCATGTCAGATCAGGGAGAATATTTTAGATAGAATAATTCAATGGCCAGAAATGATAGTCTTGGGAGATTGCCTCAGGTCCTTGAAGACTCACTGTCTTCTTAGGATACAATACATTTTTTTTTTCAGAGACAGTGGCAGCAAAGACAGAGAATAATTTTTAAATGGGATCTAGGAAAATTGAATATTCCTCTTGGTTTTCTAATTCCACTAATTCTACAAACGTTCCATGTCTTTTATACAAAGTGACAGAGCATGAATTGTATGAGATGAGGTGACCGTCACTGGAAAAACCTTGAAATTAAATTTTTTATAAAACTAATTTTGGTAAAATGAATTTTGCCTGATCTACTCCAAAGAATAGAAGCCAGGCTGCTCTGAACTATTAAATGTTAATAACTTGGATAAATTAATAAATGGTAATTCCAAAGGACCAAGGTTGGTGATATGTCTACTTACTTCTCTGAATATTCAAATTGTCTCAGAGCTCCAAATCTTAGAAAGAAACATCATTAACAGTCAGGATATGTCTTTCCTAATTTCTCTATTGTGACACAGTCTACATATTTGAGATGCTCGGTATGTCAGCTGCGAAGATGTTTGGATCATAACAAAGCAAAGCTATATGCTTATGAGAAGCAGAGTCCCTACTCAGTAAATTTTATCTGGGTCTTTAAACCTACCATGCAGTGCCAGGTATATGACACAGTATCAAAATATCTGTACAGTATCGGGTTTCCTAAAATGTGAAACCTGAAGGTCTTCAAAGGGAGTCAACTCTACATAGTTTCTCTCCTGTCTATCCCACATCAAAATACCCACAGTTCATGTTGGGCAATTAGGAGTCAACCTCCTTTCTTTACAAATTGTGAGTTAATATAATAAATTATTGAAGAAAATAACTTCAAAAAATTCACTGGTGTCCCTGTTCAAATTTAATCAATAAAATTATTACTAAACTGTTGCACAAACATAGAAAGTTCTTGACAGAAGGCAGAACCATTTAAGTTTAGCCAGCTAATTTTGAGAACTACAGGCTATGCAGAAAATATATGTACAAGGTTAGCAGCAGTCTGAATTGAATGTGGAAAGATGTCCTCATAACCACTTAATACAGTTGTATTGTACATAAAGTACAGACAGATAAATATTTATATTAAAAATAAGTATGCAGGTAGAATGTACCTAATGTCTATATTTACATATATACTGCATGCATAACATACATGCAATGTTTTACATATATATAAATATATATATTAGTACAGACTTATTTTGCATTTATTCAATAAGTAGAGGATGAAACCTGGTACATGCAAGTGTTCTTTGCAGCCATCTGCACTATATTTCTTAAAAAACAAATCCAAAATTTTAATATTTCTTCTTTTACTTATTCTACCACCATAAATACTTTAAATGTTTCTCATGTGTTTGAATAATTATTATTTATGGACAAAATGCATTTTATTTGCAATTTTATGTTTTATTGTATAGCCATACTTTCAAAGTATGGCTATACAAAATATATGAAGTCCTATATTATCTGTTATTGACAATATTATGTGTAATGTCCTTGTACACATTTCCAAGTTCTCAAACATGAAGTAACAGTTTTAAGGCATATGCATGTAAGAGACATTTTTATCAACTCATGGTAACTTCCATTTTCTTTGTTTCTTCCAGAGTTAGTAGAGAACAGCACAGTTTCCACATTAAGCATGCCTATCCATACTGTTATGGAATAAATGTGTCAGCAAGATAAAAGAAAACTGTAGTCACAAACCCAAAGAATTCACTCTGTTTACTGTGGCAGAAAGAATGAGGAGAGCATGGAGTGCAGGAAGACATCACACATTCCTGAGGTCTGTGATCAGCTTTTGTGCAGTGTCTAGAAATGCACTGGACAACCACAGGCAGCAGTTAACACACTCTGTGGGCTGTAAGGCAAGTGGTGATGGCTCCCAGATGGGAACTTACCCTGTCAAGAGCTGCTTTCTCAAGTTCATTTTTGGCTACAGCTAACTTTTGTTCCAGTTCGGTGAGCTGTTGGGCCTGTAACAGGGAAGAAAAGCAGAACATTTTAGGAAACCCTACAATCTATACACTTGTCCTTTACTGAAAAAAATAAAAGAAATGGAATAGAGCCCGTTAGTTTAATTTAAAATTTAGATTATAAATACAAAGTTACATAGTCGTTTGATATGTATGCAGAGAACACTGTGATCTGAATGAATGAGGACTAAAGTCTCGTGGTTGAACCACTTTGTAAAGACTAATTCAGACTTTCTTATGTTTGTAAGTCCTCTTATCACAGATGTTTCTAGTCCTTGGGGACTGAACTGTATTTCCACACCTTCCTGTGTTGATGCCTGATTATCCTTTTGAGTTTTAATTATTTATTTGGTGATAGAGCAATTGAGAATATAATAAGGTGTAAAGGTTCTCTATCTGTCTCTCCCTCTCTAATTTATAAATATCAAACACTCAATGTGATGGTACCATCACCAAATCACCAGGACAGTAAACATACTCTCCAAACAATGAATCAAGAAAAACATGAAAATGATAGTCTAAAGGTTAGAAGCTTGGGCTATCTGAAGGGCTCCTGGCAGTAGGACCAGGATCTATCCCCAGTGCATGAGCTAGCCTTTTGGAGCCCATTCCCTATGGTGGAATGCCATCCTCAGCTTTAATGCGGGGTTGGGGAGGGGCTTGGTCCTGCCCCAACTTAATGTGACAAACTTTATGGATTACTCATGGGAGCTCTTACCTATTGGGAGGAGTGGATAGGATGTATGCTTGGGGGGAGACAAGGGGGCAGAAGGAGGAGGTATTGGAGGGAGAACTTTGGTTGAAATATAAAATAAAAGTAATAATACTAATACTAATACTAATACTAATACTAATAAATGATATTGTAGTCTTGAGAGCTGTGCAGACATGTTTCACATGAGCTGTCCAGACTGCAAAAATCTTTTTGTGGTATTCCAATAAGATTAAAATTGCAGTAGATGATCTTTTTCATTTTAAGACTTTACCCCATGTCACTGTATCCTAGCATGTTTCTTCATTTCTTCAAATGTGGTAACTGGGCTCTTCAGTGAAAGCAACAGTGACTTCATAATTGAAAGATGTATATTCTACAAAAACACCAAGCTAGCTGCCATAACATATATGCAGAGAACTGCTGAGTGGGAGGGAGCATGTGTGTCTCTGACTCTTTTGACTGCTCTTAGAACTGTTTTCTTCTTTCGTGGTTGCCTTGCCCAGCCTTCATATGAGGGCCTTGCCTTTTCCCATTGTATCTTGTTTTGTTGTATTTGGTTGTTGTCTCTGGGAAGCCTGCTCTTATCTGAAGGGAAAAGGAGGGGGTTGTGGATCTGTGAGAGAGGGGGGTGTTGTTGAGAAACTGGGAAGAGTGGGGGGAGGGGAAACTGTGGCCAGGATGTGCTGTATGAGAGAAAAATCCCTTTTCAATAAAAAGAAAAAAGAAAGATGTATATTCTAATTTTGCCTTAGCTATGCAATCTTGGAAAACAGTTGACACTTCTAAACAAAAGGTGAGAACAATTTTCTGTCCTAAACCATCACTGAATGAGCAGCATGCAGCTTGGAGAAGTTCATTGCCAACAAACACATAGTATTTGCGCCATTTCAGTTTATAATTCTCTGAGTGTATTCCTTCCAGTTTATTTTGGTTTATATTGAGAGCAGGAAAAATTAAATATCTTTATTTCAATTTGTGTTAGTAATGCTGCCGTCTTATTCCCTATCAGGATTAATTCAATCATTTCCTAATATAAACAATAGTGACCTTGTAATACATGTGAAACATGGATTGTGTGTACTGATTACATAATGAAGAAAAATAATGTCAAAGACAAAATGGTTTCCTACCAGTACATATATCATGTGTGTTAATAATGACAGCTGTAACTAAGAGAATGAAGTTAAAGGAAGAGATGGGGAATCCAGGATCTACATTAATCACTTCTTCCTTAGCTGGAGAAATGGCTTGGCAGTGAAGACTCACTATTCTTTCAGAGCACCAAAGTTCAGTTTCCTTCAGCCATGTAAGGTTGCTCACAATGTCCCATACCTCTAGCTCTGAGAGATCCAATACTTGTTTCTGGCCTCCATGCTCACCGTTTACTAGTACTTACTCATGTACAGATACATACGCATGCATAGAAACTTTAAAAGTAATTAAAACCTTTACAAAATAAAGTTGATCTTGACCCCTTTGCTCATATAACCCGTCCTCCCATTCTTACACCAGAGCTGGTGGAACCCCTGTGCTCATATAACCTCTCCTCTCCCTCTCTCTCTCTTATACCAGAGCTATTGGGAGCTCACTGACTCTAGAATGACAGCTGGGAAACCTGTATAGGATTGAACTAGGCCCTCCGAATGTGAGTGACAGTTCTATGGCTTGGGCAGTCTATGGGGCCACTGACAGTGGGACCAGGATTATCCCTAGTGCATAAACTGGCTTTTGGGGGGCCCATTCTCTATAGTAGGATACTTTGTTCAACCTTGATATAGGTAGGGAGGGACTTGGTCCTGCTTCTACTTGATATGCCAGTTTGTTGATTTACCCTCTCTGAAGAGTGGATGGAAGTTGGGTGGGTGGGAGAAGATGGGGGAAGGGGAGTGGGGAGAGAGGGGAACAGTAATTAGTAGGTAAAATGAAAAAAAAAACTTTAAAATAAATATTGAAAAAATAAAATTGAGGAAAAAATCATTCCTGTGTTTGGTCCCGTGTCTTGTAGTTCTTCCTATCAAGAAAGTGTTTATGTTCTTGATTCTGAATGAGCTTTTGTAGGTTCTAATGCCTTTCTTGGCCATAGAAATACAGGAAAGTATTTAAGAACCAAAGTGAAATGGACACAGCAAACTTCCTGTGGGAGTGCAGTGGCTCTCCTTATGCCCCCATGAAGAGTCCAAATTGAGATTAAGCCCAAGTGAAAATAGACTAGTGGAAGTATACAACCATGCATACACCCAGCCAACATCACTGGCTCCCTTCCAACACATAGGTACTTGTAATATATCCTTAAACTTCTGGTTCTTTCTACCTTTGAGTGCAGGTGGTGTCACAGTACAGCCTATCATTATAAATGAGAATCATCAAGACAGCTCTTCTGAAGAGCAGAAACCTGAACTGTGGAAGAAGCAAATCATAAACTGGATGCTCAAGACTTCCAATGCAAATAACTATTGTGCTCTTGAAGAAAACTAAATCTGTTTACATAAAACACATATCAATCAAAAGACAAGTAATAAAACAGGGCTGGGGGAGACAGATATGGCAATACTTTGTCATACAAATGTATACTTTTAGAGCATTAAAATAGGGATGTATGAAGGCTTGCAAGACTGCACTTGAATGTGACACCCTCCAGTCATCTGAATAGGTGCTGTTGTATTCAGTGAATGGGTTATCTCTATGAAGACCTCCATTTTTCTCCATCTGAGAGAAAATTCCAGCTTCTTCATTTGGAAATTATTGCCCAGCCTTGTCAACCTAACTATACAGGGACAACAGATCCAAGATGGAAGGAGACAAGTTCTCTTGATCAGTGGATGATTAGTTTTAGAACATTGAGCAAAGTATTTAATTCCTACAAGTCCAAGTTTCTTTTTCTATATACAATAAAGATATCTGTAAAGTAATTAAAGCAATAAGAGCAACCCAAAGTAACATACCAACAAGGAAGGTACTTTGTTGACCTCCATTTATAGGTTATGAACTGGAGCCAGTGTAGCAACCTAGCATGCTCATTTCAGGACAAGAAATATGAATTCCAATAAAAGAGAACATTTGGGTTTGAAACAATTATTTCTAGCCACCCAATGGTTTTCAGTGTTTTTTTTTTTCTTTTACCATTTCTGAGATCTCTCTGAGTATGAGCAAGCTCATAAGTCAGAAGTTATAAAGAGATTAAGGAAAAGTGATGGCAAGAACTACAAGATTCATATCTACTGATATGTTGTCTTGGTTTTTAAAAGAGCAGTTTTTATGTAAATTCACACACTGTGTCTCTATTATATACAAGAAAGTTTCTGTAATAGATACAACACCAGAAGACTTATGTTAGTCATGGCACTTAGCCAGAGAATAAACTGGTTAATAAAGTTAACTTTATAAAGTTTACTTGAGAAAACATAATGCATTATAAATTAAAATATGATGCCACCTCAAAAAACCCAGTATTGATTCCAGAGGCACTTTGATTCTCAGACAATCACTAATTAATATTTGTGACAAAATTAATTTTTTCTAAGTCTGCAAAGAGTGAAAAATCAGAAGAAAAAAATCATGCACAATTAAAGTTGCCTTATGAAATCTGACTAGCTAAACCAGAGTTGAGTGTTAGTGACAACTGACAGAGGCAAGACATCTCAGTGTTCCTGAGAGAGTCAGACAGCAGCATAACCAAACCTTCCATTTTTCTTATAGATACACTTCACTAGGAACTGTAAACTGATGGTGGGATATACATTTTATTTCCTGATTGAGGCCCTAATCCTATGTGGTCAGCTCTAAATACTTGTAAATAAGGGCAAAACTAAATGGATTTGGTAGTGTGTGTGTACAGCAAGAATAACTATAGAAGAACAGGTCATGAAGAGAGGGGATGGAGCATGGGAGGAGTCAGTGAAATGAGACAAAAGGGTCGATAAATGATGGCAATACAGTGTATTTGTGTATGAGATGCTCACATAAAGAAAAGGAAACAATGGCATGTGTGCTGACTGCTGACGTTAGTGTCATTTCTGGATTCATTTTTCTAAAACTGTGACTTCAAATTTTCCATACAACTCTGAAGCTCTAGCTGTCAATGTGCCTGAGAACAAGACTTTCCTAGCATTCTCATTACTGCTTTTCCTTTTTCCTTCCTTATTTTGTTGTAAGAATTCACCTTCACATCAGCTGGACAATAAAGAATAAAGTAGTTTGGTGCTCAATGCACAAGCTGTGACTTTCTTTCTAAGAGCATAAAGATTGACCGGTGCACAAATGGGCACATTTTATTTGAACTTTCCTG